TAGCTGATGTGCTAACGAAGGACTACACAAGAAGCAATTTGATAAGCTGACTAGCAAGCTGGCTATGGAAGATATCTTCAAACCAGCTTGAGGTGGAGTGCTGAAAATTTGTGTTAATGTATATAATAAGATAGTGGCATATGATAGTGGTGTTGGTGGCATGTATATAATATGATAGTGGTGTTGGTAGCATGTATAGAATATGATAGTGGTAGATAATAAGATAGTGGCATATGATAGTGGTGTTGGTGGCATGTATATAATATGATAGTGGTGTTGGTGGCATGTATAGAATATGATAGTGGTAGATAGTGGTAATATATAATATGTAAGTGGCATATAATGGGTTATAATGATATTTGTAATATCTCCTATATAAGGAGTGTCATTTGGTCTTGTAAGATAAGAAGTTTTGAATATAACAGAAATATATTCCTTCTTGCTCATATTTTCGGAGTTCTTCTTCCTCATATTTTCTAAGTGTGACTATTGTCGTCGCCCTCGCCATACCTGTGAGACTCGTTGGAAGTTGCATAGGCCGTCATTTGGGGGTCATGGAGATCGTTCTAGTTCTCGTGGGGGTCGCTCCGGTCAGTCTAGAGGCCGAGGGCGCAATGCTCGAGCCCATTATTCTGATATAGTTGAGCCACAGTCCCCAGCTTCGGATGTTTCTTCTGCTGATATCTCTGGTTTTTTCTACTTCTCAATTAGAGGTTGCTCTTCGCCACTTGCTAGACTATAGAGCTTCTAGTTCTTCTTCAGGTAACTTTGCCCATTCAGGTAATTTAGCGTCTTCTCCAAGTGCTTTCCTATATCATCAAACATTGCCTTGGATTATCGATTCTGGTGCTTCCAATCATATGTCTGGATCTTTTGATTTGTTCTCAGCATATACCCCTTCTTCAGGCCAGGATAAAGTTCGCATTGCTGATGGTACCATTTCTTCTGTGTCTGGGAAAGGTTTAATTCATGTCACTACTTCTCTTCCTTTGTCTTCTGTATTACATGTTCCCAATTTTAGTGTTAATTTTTATCATTGAGTCGTATTACTCGGGACTTAAATTGTAGTGTGACATTTTTTCCAGATCATTGTCTGTTTTAGGGCTTTATCACGAGGAAGATGATTAGCAGTGGTTGAAACAAGAATGGTCTCTATATTTTGGATCAAGCAGACAAGTTGGCTCATTCTTTCATTCAGTTACTATCTACCAAAGAAGACTTATGACTGTGACACCGTCGTCTTGGGCATCCATCTTTTTTGTTACTTAAGCATCTTTTTCCTTCAGTTTTTTTTTTGAAACATAATGTTTCTAAGTTTCATTGTGAGTCATGTCAACTTGGCAAACAACACAGAGCTTCTTTTACTCCTTCTATTAAAGAAGTTTAGTTCATTTTTCATTGATTCATTCTCATGTATGGGGTCCCTCTCGTTTTGTATCTTTAGAGGGTCAAAGATGATTTGTCACCTTTATTGATGATTGTTCTAGGACCACTTGGGTATATCTTATGAAGGATAAATGTAAGGTTTTTTTTGTGTTTCAAAATTTTCATAAAATGATTTGCACTCAGTTTGGGGCTGTTGTACAAATTCTGCATTCTGATAATAAGGGGGAATACATTGGCTCTAGCCTTGCCAATTATTTTGCCACTCATGGTATTATTCACCAAATTTCTTGTACCAATACCCCTCAACAGAATGGTGTTGCAGAGCGTAAAAAATTGCCATCTTCTTGATATTACGCGTTGTTTGACCTTTGAAATGTGTGTTCCTCGCTTCTATTGGGGGAAACTGTTCTTACGGCAGCCTTTCTCATCAATCGTCTGCCTACCCAAGTTCTTCACAAACACACTCCTCTTCAGGTTTTGTTAGGATCCCCCTCTTCTAGTTTCTCCATTCCTCCCAAAACCTTTGGGTGTGTGTGCTTTGTCAATAACCATTCTTTTACCCGTGGTAGTTGGATCCTAGGTCTCTTTGCTGTGTCTTCCTAGGTTACTCTACCACCCAAAAGGGCTACAAGTGTTATTATCCACCTTCTCGAAAATGGTTTGTCTCTATGGATGTGTCTTTTTTTGAGTCACAGTCCTACTTCATATCCTCACCGGTGCCCCAGTCATCCCTTCAGGGGGAGCCTTGGTGTGAAGCGATTCCTATATCACTACCTGTATCACTCTTATCATTGATTGAGCAGGATGTTAAGGGTGACTCAACTATTGAGACTATTGAGTCTTAATCAGAAACAACAGTGAAAGATGGCAAAGTTTATGTCAGGACAGAGATAGAAAACAAGTTACTTGGGTATAAGAGACCAATTCGGAGTCTCCACTGCTATTTTCTCCTTCTAATAAGTGTCCAGAATCCTCTTTTGCTAATGAAACTTCAGGTAACTCTATTCTTTCTGATCTAGATGTTCCCATTGCGAATAGGAAGAGGGTTAGGTCGTGTACTCAACATCCTATTTCTCATTTTGTCTCTTATACTAATCTGTCTTCTTCCTATAAAGCTTTCTTGTCTAAAGTTTCTTCTGTGAGTCTTCCTTCTAATTTTCAAAATGCTCTTTCTACTCCTGAGTGGAAGCATGCCATGATAAAGGAGATGAGAGCTCTTCTCAAAATGACACTTGGGAATTGGCTGAGTTACCTAAGGGCAAACAACCTGTTGGATGTAAGTGGGTGTACACTGTGAGGCACAAAGCCGATTGAATGTTACAAGGCAAGATTGGTGGCCAAGGGCTTTACGCAGACTTATGGAGTAGACTACCAGGAGATATTTGCACCTGTTGTTAAGATGAACTCTATCAGAGTCCTTCTCTCCCTTGCCTTCAATTTCGATTGGCCTCTCCATCAATTTGATGTGAAGAATGCTTTCTCCCATGGTGATTTGGAAGAAGTATACATGGACAGGCTTTGAGGATGTTAAAATCAAAGGAAAAGTGTGCCAACTATGCAAGTCACTTTATGGACTTAAACAGTCTCTTAGGACTTGGTTTGTGAGATTTACTCAGGTCATACTGCGATATGGTTTCAAACAGAGTCAAGCTAACTGTTAAAATTTATCACCTACTTCACCCACTTAAACCTACTCCACTAAACCTAACCCACTACACCACTACCACCTCACCTACTCCACTAAACCTAACCCACTACACCACTACCACCTCCACTTCACCTACTCCTTACCTACTACACACTCACCCTCTTCTATATATAGGAATCATGAATCATTGTAATAGATATCAATAACATTATATCAATCAACAATACAATTCTCTATTTCTCTTTATACATTAAATTTCAACACTAACCATACTTTGTTTGTGGAACACTCCTCCCATGGTAATACGACAACTTTTATTGTCTATGTCGATGATATTGTACTCACAGGAGATGAAGTTGAGGAGGTTCCTCGGTTAAAGGAATATTTGGCCAATGAATTTGAAATCAAAGACTTAGGTAGCTTGAAGTACTTTCTAGGTATTGAGGTTGCTTAGTCCAAAGATAGCATCTTCACATGTGAAAGAAAGTATGTGCTTGATTTGCTAAGAGAAATTGGAATGCTTGGCAGTCAAGCTTGTAATATACCACTAGAGCCTGGGTTGAAGCTTAGTGAGAATCAAGGAGGCGAGCTTGTAGACAGGGGGAGGTACTAAAGGCTAGTGGGTAAGCTTATTTAGTTATCTCATTCGCGTCCTGACATTGCTATTGCCGTGAGTATGGTTAGTCAGTTTATGCATGCTCCCACGTGCAAGTCACTTAGAGGCAGTTATGCGAATTCTGCGGTACTTGAAGTCTTCTCCGGGAAAAGGTCTATATTTCTCCAAACATGGTCATCTGCGTATGGAGGCATATACAGATGCTGATTAGGCTGGCTTAGTCATTGATAGACGGTCAATCTCTGGCTATTGTACTTTTGTTGGAGGAAATCTAGTAACTTAGAGAAGCAAGAAACAGAATGTAGTTGTGCGGTCCAGTGCAGAGGTTGAATTCAAAGGTATGGCTCAGGGTGTGTGTGAGTGCTTATGGATTTGATTATTTTTTAGGGATTTGGGGATTTATCAGACAGATTCAATGAGGTTATATTGTGACAACAAGGCAGCTATCAATCACAATCCGGTTCAACATGATATGACCAAGCATGTAGAGATTGATAGGCATTTTATCAAGAAAAAGCTCACTAGTGGCACTATATGTACTCCATTCGTGAGGTCTGGGGACCAACTGGCTGATGTTTTCACTAAAAGCTTAGGGAATAAATCATTTCGTGACATTCTCAACAAGCTGGGCATGAGAGATATTTTCGTACCAACTTGAGGGAGAGTGTTAGAATATAGAAATATTTCCTATTTCATTCTTTTGTATATTTAGTATCTTTATTTATGCCTTAGAATGCTCCTGTAATTATGCCAATGAGTTAATATAAAAGAGGGTGAGATATTACTCATACCTCTAACTTTTCTTTTCTCTAAAATTCACAAGTTATACAACACTATATCAGATCTAGTTACATAGAACACTACGCACAATATAAGTAGAAACCTTAAACAAGCATCAATTAGCAACTGATTAGCTTCTCAAAATAGTCTAGCAAATAGCAACATGACTTAGAACGGGAGTGAAAATGAGAAGACTAAATCTGCACCTTGCCCGAGAATCCACTAGGATTTCCGTCTCTCTCTCTCTCTCTCTCCCCCCCCCCCCAAACAAATATCCAACTGCAGCTTCCAGTACTCCTTCAATCTGCAAAATGTACTCCTTCAATATATAGCAAGTCAAGTGTTTAGGCATGACTAGAGTGGCTTCAAACTGTAAGCCTAGCACAGCTTCTTAATGTTTGGGCTTGTTGAAAGTCATGTACTTCGGTTTCATTAAAAGTAACCAATTTCATTAATGTTTGGCCTCTTTTCTTTTTATTTATTATTTTTTTGGGGGTGTAGAGGTTAATTTACTTTTTAGTCTTCTCGCTAGAAAGGCACTAAGGCTCTTGCATATTGTCTTATATGCAGGGTTTTGGATTGAGCATATCAGTGACTGATGTTGGATACATGTGTATATCTACAATCATATCTGTTTCTGCACATGAATTTGGGCATGCTCTTGCTGCTGCCAGGTTAATTTTTTTCTACCCCCTTTTTGTCTTTTTATTCCTTTCCCCTCTAAGGTGGTATCTTTGCATATGTCACATATTATTTAATACATTAAACCAGGTAAATAGGACATATGATACTTACGTTACAACTATCCATACTTGTAATTCACTTATAGGATACCCCAATGATAAAAGTAAAATGTGGACATACCGATGCATAGAAAGTATGGATAAAAAAAAAAAGGTTTTCACATCTCAACATGCAAAAGGATAGATCTCATAACTGGTACTTACTGTAGGCATCATTTCTGTTGGAAGCAGTGAGGGAATACAAATAGAGTACGTTGCTGTATTTTTAGCAGTTCTATTTCCTGGAGCTCTGGTGGCTTTCAATTATGAGTTGCTGCAGGCATTGCCAAGTTTTGCTACCCTTCGCATATACTGTGCTGGCATATGGCATAATGCTGCAGTGAGTGCAAATAGTAACTTATATTTATGCTAATGTTTTTGAAGTCTATGACATTGGTATGTTAGTGCTATCTCACGTGTTCTCAACTTCCTCTGCAGTGTTGTGCACTTTGTGGATTTGCATTGTTCCTCCTGCCATTGATCTTGAATCCATTCTACATTCACGGTGAAAGTCCCATGGTACTTAGCTTGTATTTAAGGTCATTGATTAGTTCTCTACCTATGTACAACCCATTGATCATTTTTATAATTTTATTTTAATAGGTTCTGGATGTGTCTTCGACGTCATCTTTGTCTGGTTTTTTGTCTCCTGGTGATTTAATAATGTCATTGGATGGCATACGTATCCATAATGCACAAGAGTGGATGGAGATGGCTGCTCATATACATGAGAAGACACTTCAAAACTCAAACGTTTCCATTGATTTTCGCAACATGATAGCCAATGGCAAAAAGGGATACTGTGTCCCCAGTTCTTTGATTGAAGCAAGCAAGGACATTCAATTGACAGACGACCAATCTACCTGTCCTAATGAGTTTACTGCATTTACAAGTATGCCGTGCTTTAATTCAAACATGCTTGATAAGGGTAGCATTGAAGGTGATAGCAGAGAGGTTATGTATTGCTTGATTGCTAAGGATATTGTCAAGCTTAAAAAATGTGGTGATGGATGGGGGAATTTTGCAAACAATAAAAGCAGCTGCCTATGTTCTGAGGTACAAATTCTAAACTTCATGCCATTCTTGCTGCCAATACAAAAAATATGATAATAATCATAAAAATGAATAAATAATGAAATAAAATAAAAATGCCTTACCTGCATGAAATATGGCAGTGAGCAAATCTCCAATGCAACTTCTGACACTGGTAATGTTGGACGCAGGATGAGTCCTGCTTAACTCCAGTCCAGGCACCGGGTTTAACGTGGGTTGAGATCACATATTCAAGCCCTTATACTTTGGAATGCTGGCAAAATGGAGGAAAATCATTTGCAGGTGTTAAGAGTCTAAACTTTGAAGAAACGAGTTGTGATGGAACTTTTGTTTTCATTGGTGATGTGATCTCCATGGCTCATTCAGTTCGGTTAACTGCATATCGGCCTCGTTGGATGTTTTCTTTTGGTGCATTACTTCCAAATGTTCTGGAAAAGATTTTGGTGTGCACGTTTCATTTCTCTCTCGCGCTAGCTCTTCTCAACAGCCTTCCGGTGTGTTTCCTTGCTCTTCTTTGTTTTTTACCCTTTAGTACATGAATTTACACACAATTCCTTTTAGACAAGTGCAGGAAGAGATCACTTAGGCACCCCTATTTCTGGATTTCTATATTGAATTTGGTGTTAGAAATTGTCTTTTCAGTCCATGATCACGAAACAAATTTCCCCCATGCAATACTCAAAAATCAGCTGCTCAATAAGTTGGTTGTTCATCAATAGATCGATGTTGTCAAATTGATAAGAGTCCACAAATTTTTAACTGCATGCATGGCTGAACCACCTAAGTGGATGCAGTTCACTTGAATATACGTCTTTTCAAATTTCTCATCAGTCATCATCAATTAGTTACTCGTAAAATTTTTGTTGAAGTTTTGATGCCTGTGATCAGTTTAAGACCAAGTGTGGAAATTCTATACTGTGTTTGGTAACGTTTATGTTTTCAGTTTATATTTACAAAAATTTTATAAACTGGTTTTTGTTTATTTTTTTGTTTATTTATAGAAAAACATAAACTACAAACGCGTTTGATAATTGACAAAATGTTTAAAAATATTTAAAAATATACAAAAGAGTGAGAAATGGCAAGTGGTGGCAAGTGGCGGCGGAAGACGGTGGTGAAAAGTGGTGACGGTGGGTGGTGGGTAGCTGGTGGTGGTGGGTCGGTGGTGGGTGACGGTGGCCGGTGGTGGGTGGTAGCGAGTGGGTGGTGGTGGTGGTGGTGGTGGTAGCAGGTGGTGGTGGCAGGTGGGTGGCGGATGGCGGGTGGATGGCAGGTGGTGGTGGTGGGTGGGTGGGTGATGGTAGCAGGTGGTAGGTGGTAGCGAGTAGGTGGTGGCAGATGGGTGACGGACGGCGGGTGGTGGCGGTGGTGGTGGGTGGTGGTGGCAGGTGGGTGGCGGATGGGTTACCCACTTTCATAGCACTAATTGAAGCATCTCAGAACATTAACATATCTCAGTCTCAGGAGATCAGGTTCGAGACTAGTTATAAAACTAGTTTCAAGACATCCTGAGGACTTGTCATTGCGGCTTCCTCGTCTTCTACTTGAAAGTCGCAAGGGGAGGAATTCAGAGGTCAGAAGAGGAAAAACTGCGAAGATGACACTCTTTTTCCTTGTAGTGTTGAGGAGGTGAAGGCCTTAGTTAAAGAATATGTGGTAGACGGGGAATTGAAGTTGGCTCATATCGAAAAGCTTTTGCCGAAGAAGGACCGCGAGGGCCTTAATTATTGTGTTTTCCACCGATCACTAGGACATCCTATAGAAAAGTATTGGACGCTTAGGAAGATCTTCAGAAGGAAAGTGAAAGCAAATGAGCTAGGGTTTAAAGAACAAGGGCCCCAGGATACCTTAAAAGACGTGGCTATGATGGTGTATGACAGCCACAACCCGAGCAGCTAGTGAAAATTTTCCAAATGACCTCGCAACTATGGTGGTGGCAGGTGGGTGGTGGTGGCGGCGGAAGACGACGGTGGAAAATGGTGACGGGTGGTGGCTAGTGTTGGGTGGTAAAAAAAAAAAAACTGAAAACTCAAAATGGAAACACATTTTTTGTATTTTCATTTTTTGGCCAAATTTATAAACTGAGACCATTGATTTATAAATCAAAAATTTTACCAAACTAGTTTTTATTTGAGTTTTTAAAATTTTTGTAAATATAAACAGAAAACTGAAAACGTAAGTGTTACCAAACGACACCCTAGTGTCTGAAAGTTAAAGTTTAGAATGTTTGCTTGATTAAACCAACGTACTGTAAAGCCCAAGGGTATTTATCATTTTTGCTACAAAGGGTAAAGTGGCAATCATTTTTCGTCATGTTTGCTTAAGAGACTAGAACTCCTAGGTTCCTAACATTGTAATTTTAGTGATTCAGAATGTTTTACATGCATGATCAATAATACTCAACAATACTATAGTTTTCTCTAATCATGGTTATATTTTTAGGTTTACTTTCTCGATGGTGAATCCATTTTGGAGGTGACTCTATGTTACATGAGGTTGTTGAGCCCGAGGATGAAGGGAAGAGTTCTTCAATTATGTCTTTTAGGAGGGACCCTCATTTCCATTCTCGCCTTTTTGAGAATCGTTCTTTTCACCATTTTGTAAGTTTGATGTTGCCATATTGTCCCCGAGTTTCTTATGTTACTATCCAATTTTGATATTTCACTTTTTGTACTGTATTTTACATCTTTCACGTTATATGCCTTAATGTGCATCTTCAGCTTTTATTTTTATTATGTGCCATCATTAGGCATGAATTACATGGTATAATAATTATAGCTTTAAGCTTGGTTTTTTTATGCCATAGTGATCCTAATTGAAGTGGAGTTATTTCTTCCCCTAAATGGCCATAATTAGATTCTGAAATAATTTTAAGATCATTAATGAAGGAATAAAGATAACGCACCAATATGGAGTGGAAACCTCCTCCTACTTGTGATTATATTTTTCTCTGAATTAATGCAAATGATTATTTATTTTTTTGAAATATCATAAAATGGAAGGGTAACTTGACTCTTAACTGGACTATAATTTCCTGTAGTTGTTAAAAAGGGTACACTATAAATTTTGAAGTCCAAAACTGACTTTTCAGTTTGAGCCCACAAAAAACTATAGGCCTATTCTACATGCAAAATACGTCGTGAAAGTCTTTTGGGCCTAATCATAGAATCTTCTAGATTAATGAGAATTTGACTGGCAAACTTCTCAACCAAGAAAAAAAAAATGGCAAAGTTGACAAAATGTTGACTTTCACCAAAAAATGTTCGAAAATGCATTGTAGCTCGAAATAGTCAAGGCTCGAATGGCCTGACCCTCCTCCTCTCTCTCTTTCTTCTCTATCTCTTTCTTCCCTCTCCAGAAGAAAGAAGAAGACTAAGAAGAAGAAGACCTCTATCTCTCTCTCCCATCTTCAGAAGGAAGAAGAAAAAGACCAAGGTAGAGGAGGAGCTATTTCGATTCTAAGATTTCAATTTTGATTCTGATATTGATGTTGATTTTGATTTTGATTTGAGTTTGATTTTGATTCTGATTTTTGGTTTGGTTTTGGATTTGATTTGATTTCACATTTTGTTTGATAAACAAAAATTGATTTTGATTTTGAAAAGGAAAAAGAGAAAGAAAGAACAGAGGAAGAACCGAGGGGGAAGGGAGAAGAGGAAGAAGAGGGAGAAAGAGAAGAAAAAAATAATTAAGAGAGTGATTTGTTTCCCTCTGTTTGATTCGTTCAAATCCAGCTTTCTCTCTTTGAATTAATCAAATCCAACAATTCTGCCTCACATCTTTTTCTCTCTTTCTCTCCTTCTGTTTTTTTTTTTTTGCCTGCTCTCTTCCTTCCTCTTCTCTTGTCTCTGTTACTAGTTTCAGAGACAAAAAAGAGGGGGGAAGGAAAGGAAAAAATATATATATTGCAGAGCTGAGATTATTCCTGTGTTGCAAAGATTGGCCAAGAAAGATGATGGTGAAGAACAAGTGAAGCATGAGAGATTTTTTTTGGGGGGGGAGAGAGAGAGAGAGAGAGAGAATCCATTGCCGGTTGGTTTTATGAGACCAACAGAGAGAGAGAAAGAGAGAGTAGAGAGAAGAAAAGATGAGAAGGAAATAGAAAAAAAAAAAAAAAAAGAGGTGCCAAAATGACGTCAAGCCACTCGAGCCTTGACTATTTCGAGCTACCTAGCGAGATTGAAAAATGTTTTATGTTAAAAATATTCAATGCTGTATGTGAATGAATAGTGTAAGAGAAAAGCTATGGATTCAGATTTACCCACTCAAAATTTTCTGGGTGAGTGATTGTACGGTAGAGATTAATTTGTATAGTGTGAGATTCATGTAAGATGTGGTGGAGATTAATTTCTGGATAATTTTTAGGTTTATAAGGGTGGATTTGCACTATTACTCATAGTGTAAATTAGGGCTAGGCATAGGGTTATCTGAACTGCCCAACACAATGCGGGCGGATGCGGTTTGGAATATGACATTATTGTTGGTTGCGGGCGGGTTGCAGGTTTTACCTGCACTTGTAAGAACCTGTCTGCACTTAGATTTTATTTTATTTTTTTTAACCTGGACCGTTGATTTCATTCATTTTATCTTGAATATTTTTACCCAACAAACATATGCATGGAATTAAAATTTTTGAAAGTTGGATATGATTCATGATAGAGTTTGCGAGTTTGCAAATGTTTTTATTTTATTTAATAGGTTTGAATTTGATGATTTTTTTTTTTTTTTTTTTTTGAACTCGAATTTAATAAAGTTTGACAACAATTTATTGTTATTTTATTATTGCATTTTGAATAAAGGTAAAAGTTAATAAACAATTACTTTTAGGTAAGTTTAAGATTTTGATTGTATTGTTGGGTAGTGAATGATTTTGATGATTTAGTTTAGGATTTTGAAAGATGTACTTGTGTTAGTTTATGATTTTATTTAAAAGTTTAGAATTTTGAATGATTTGCTTGTCTTAAAAATTGATTTTGTTGTGTTTTTTATTTTATTAGTTTTAGTTCATTGATTATTAATGTTGAGCATTTTAAAAAATGGGGGAAAGAGAGCCCAAAACAAATATTTACAAAACAGAAAAAAAAGGGTCAAAAAATAATTTTTTTTTAAAAAAAGTCAAATTCGCAAACCGCTAGGACATTCACAAATTTTATCCGCGTAAATCGTAATCCGCACTGCGACAATTGCATATTCAATTTTTTCCATGAATCCAAACAGTAAATTGAACCGTTTAAAAGTGAACCTCGAGTACACCTAATGTAAATGCTGTGGCAATGTCATACATGACACCAAATAATTACTTGCCTTTATGCTTTGAGATTAAAATGTATCCCTTGATGCGTGCTATTGGTGAAGAGCTTTCCAAATGATTGTAATAATTGTGCGAATTTGACATCTTAACTTTTACTTTTTACTTTTTACTTCCTTTTTTTTTTTTTTTTTCTCTCCTTTTTTTTTGTTCATTCTATTAGCTTCATAAATTTAATATTCAAATATAACCTAATCGTGCAATGATGCTCAAGAATCATACAATAATTCTAATTATATAATTTTCAATTACATAACAAAAATCATACAATAATTTTAGTTACATAACAAATTACAAATTTTTTACATTTTTGTATGTGAAACTCACAACAATATGAATTCCACATATAAGATTACGAGAGAATTGTGATTAGTCCTATATTTGTAGACTTGGAGAGTCATATGGTGAATGCTCTAGATCACATAGCCTTTCCATCCTAAGCTACAATTAAAATGTATCTAAATATCATCCAACTACTCCCAAGTGTTCCATGGTCCTAAATGATATTAGGCTCTTGTTTCCTTTGAATAACAAGCCCAACTCCAATCTCACATAAATGCAAACTACCAATCATCTTCATAAACAGTCCCATCAAATTGCTTTGTTGAAGTTTATGATTTTTATTTTTTATTTTTTCTACGTCCCTCACACTCAAAAGTGGTTGGCAACTAGTTTTGCTTTTGCTTTTAGCTCTTGCTATTACTTTTGTAGCTTCAGACTTGTTTGATTTGTATCTCAAGATACAATTTTTAAAATTTTGTTTGGTTTAAATTTTTTAAATTTTTTTTTCAAAATCAGTTTTTCTCTCCTACACTTAGAGGTGTGCATAATACCGCCAAAACCGCACCAAACCGCACCGCCAAGGCAAATTCGTTATTATTTGTCAATCGAACCGCCGGTTTTTGGTAAGAAAAATGGCAAATTCTAGTGACACTTTTATCAATCCGTCGGTTTCTATTTTCCTTCCAAACCGCACCGACCCGCACCGCTATTAAATCATGTTTTATAGGATTCTAAAAATTCTTTTTTACTTAAGTTTTCTTGTTGTTCTATACCTTAGAATATAGTATTACATTACTGCTCGAGGGGAATTTTATGTATTGTATTTGATTACTGTAGCTTCCACAGATGCTTGTAATGAACTGATGGCATAGTCGTTGATATTATCATGTTGTTGCTACATTTGCTGCATAAGAAGAAAGCTTCGCAAGATGCTTAACATCACGATATCTCTCGTCTTTTTTTTACTCTTTGATTTAAGTTTTATAATTTGAATTATATTTTTTATAAACCGCCAATCCGCCTGAACGGCCAAGGCAAATCCGCCATTATTTGCCAACAGAACCGCCGGTTTTGATAAGGAAAATGGCAAATTCTAGTGACACTTTTATCAATCCGCCACCCGCCATACGGTTTCTATTTTTCTCTCAAACTGCACCGACCCGCACCGCGCACACCCCTACCTACACATCAGTCAATTACTTTTTCTCTCTCCTCTCTCTTTCTCAATTATTTTTTTCTTACACACATCTACTCAACTACAATAAAATATCAAATAATCGCAAACTTTCAAATTCCAAAATTATTTTCAAAATATATAACCAAACAAACAAATTTTTTTTTAAAACTTTCTTCCTAAATTTTTAGCTTTAGGAGAAGAGCAACTTTCTTGCTTAGAGAAGTATATGACAAAAAAGATTTGCGAATCCTATACAGCAAAATATGGTAGCGTAGGAGCATAGCAATTCAATAACTTTAGGAACCCTAGAATGCATAGCAATTGCTAGTAGTTAGCTTTATGAACCCTAAGCAATTACTTTGCATAACTATCTTTGCTACAGCAAGTGCAATTAAGTGACTAGTGCGAGCAGTTATGATATAAATTGCATTCACATACGTTAAAAGGAGTTGTAGAGCAACATTTGCAAATGATTCAATTCTTTTGCTTTGCTATACTATCACTGTTGCCAATAGCTTCAGGGCAAGCTATATGATTCTTCACCAAATGGCTCCAAATAGAAGCTGCTAAAATCCATTGGATTTTAACCTAAGCTCATAGTAACAGCCGAAACAATTTAGTAGGTGTTCACTATGTTATTTGATATTATGACCCTTAAAACAAGTTATTGAATTGCTCTTATCTAAATAAAGCAAAGAGATATGGATTACATTGATCTCTTATACAAGTGTTATTTTTCATTAGTAAACGAAAAGCTAAACTAAATGACAAAAACATAACTCTTATCACAAAAGAATAGTGGTTGTTTGATTTCTCATATCTCAACTCTATCCACATGTTTATCCCCTTAAGGTTGTGTTTTGTTTTTTGTTTTGTTTTTTTTGAAATCTCCTCTCAAATCTTTGATGGAATGTTCAGTGGCTTGATTTGTCTTCCTTCAAGGATGAAAATCATTATAATTAATC